ATTCAGCAATTATCATACCTTGACCAAGTGCAGAGTGAAAGGTTTGTTGCTTAGGTGATCTGCTGAGCCTCTCAGAGGTGTAGTCATCCTTGGAAGGTTATCCCTGCCACTTCAACAGGGAAAATGGGACACCAGGGCATGTTCTGTGACATGATTAATGGATATGTGAATAGCACCCTATGACTTATGATATCATCTCCATTGTCTTGCTTGAAAATTACCTTCCTCTGCTGTAGAAGGGCAATGCTTCCCTGTGTAGTTTATGGCACTCATAAACAACTCCTACCAGCATCTTTGCTGTTGTGTCCTGTCTCACCTTCTCCTTGTACCTGTTTGTAATTGGGGATGTGAAGCTGTTCCTGTAGTGTCTCAATATGGGCTAAGCTGTGAAATCCCAGGGCTCGGCAGTGAGAGCATCAGCCTTCTGCTGAGTCATCTGTGATGACAGATACTGGAGTTTTACAGACGTGCAGAGTCACTTTTGCTGACTTACTCATTTTAATTTAGCTGGGTTTTATTTGTTCTGGTGACTGTTATTCAGGGTGTTAATATTTCTTGGAGGGAAATAAGAGTAAGAGCAGCTCTCCTGGCTTAGCCTTAGTGAAAATAGCAAAGGTGAACTTCAGAGAAATACTTCTCTGACTTGCCTGTGCCTGTACTCAGTTTAGAGCAATCAAGATTCTACATGCTTATGTTGCTCAGTAATTTAAAATGCAATGCAGTGTGTGAACATATCACTGTGATTCTTCTGAAAAATCAAAACATGCACTGACAATCCTTTCTTTTCAGAGTATGAATAGGTTGGAAGTGCTCAGATGCCTCTTGAAAACTGTGATGTAGCAGTGCTTTTTGTCTTTGGTTACATTTTCATTGATACTCATGTCTGTAGTTACCCAGCTTATTTCAAAGCTTGTCAAACAGTTGAGTTGGAAAAAGGAGTTGAGGGGATATGTGCTGACGTGAAACTTCTGTTTGCACCCCTTTTTGTTGTCATTAGCTGCCTTTGTTCAGCTGATGCTTTTGGAGTTGAGACAGGCTTTGAGTTTTCTTGCTGTCATCTCTGTCTCAAGTTTTCTCTCTCTTCTTCACTTCTTCTGACCTCCTTGCCTTCCAGAGTTAGGGATGACTTGTACTGATGTAAAAGGACTTGGAGTGTATACATTCCATTAGTGCTATGCTATTTAGTCCTATGAATTTCTCGTGCATCTGTGCACTTTTTAGACCTTATCTATGCATTGTGGTTCCTTTTTAGTTGGGCTGCCTAATTTCCCTTTTCATGATGAGTTGATGGTTTCTCTATTCTTTGTACTCTTTCAGCAGTCGAACAAAACCCTCAAGTTTACTGTGACTGGAAGGGCACATTCTGACAATGGAATTCTTTTTTGGTTAAATTTATTTGATCATTTGAAGATGGCAGTGTGTGCCTTGAACACACATGGACTGTGACAAAAGATGCTCTAAGCTTTAAAGTGAAGGACAGGAATACACTAGGCTAATTTTATATTACAGTAAATTTCCCTAGAATTGCAACTGACTAAAAGCTGTAAATATCTGTATTTGTCTTCTTTCCCTATAATTCTAGAAAAATGTATAAACATTTTCTTTCTTTTCAGTAAGAAGTGGTTGAACTGTATGTATTTTACTTTAAAAGAATTTTTGTGTAATATTTTTTGTGTCCTGTATTAGCATAGATGCAGTTTTCTCTACTCTCATTTTGGCAATGCTTTCTCCAATACAATTGAATGCCAATTCATGGCTTATTTTTTGAGCTGCCTTTTACAAAAAAGGTAACCACATTCATTGCAGAGAGCTTTCTTCTTACACTATTGTACAAGTTAATCTGAGAGACAGACAAATCTCGTTTTATAGAGCTACAAAAATTGATGGCCATTTCTACTCTATGCTAGAAGATGCATCACTGTGTCCAGAATAACTTAGAGAGTGAGAAACACCTTTAATGAAAAGCATGAACAAAGAGAACTTTTGCAAGCACTTAGTCCATGTTTCTTTGCAGTTCTTCCCACATAAGGTATGACCCCACCTTAGTGCCAGCACTGGAGTCACCCAGGAGAATAAAGAGGTGATTTTCTTCAGTAGCAGAGGGCTGGTAGGGGCAAGAGACTCCACAAAAGCATGACTGTGGCCTCTGAGCTGAGGCAGATGAGAATAGGGCTCCTGAGCTGTCTCAAGAGCTCCATCTGCTCTCTGCAGGGCTGCTGATGGCTCTCACAGCTCTTCTCTGAGAGCCAAGGCAGGGACGTGTGGCACCTCAGTTCATAGGGACTGATTTCTTCCTCCTTGTTCTGCCCATCTTTTTTCCCTGCCTGGAGCAAGGTTTGCAACTGCAGCACAGCACAGCTCTTCAGATTTGTTATTCCACTCTTGGGATGCTAAAATCCAGATTAACTTGCACTGCTCTGAATGTTTGAAGAAGATCTGTGTGAAACAGAGGGAAAAATGGTGAAGCTTTCATTACCTGTGCCCTGGTGCCATGTACACAGTGTTTTCTTTGCTCACCAGGGCATTAAACCAGAAAACATCCTTAGATCATTCATTCTGGCCATCAGGAATTAAAGACTTCTTTCACAATATCTCTGTGACACGTTAGAAGTAATAATTCTAATAGACAATTAACAAAAGAATTATTGACTGACCACTAGAATTTCAAAGTAAGATTCCAGCTTTGGTAACTAAAATATTAATCTGGATGAGAGGATTGATTATTCTGAATTCCATTCTGACTGCATCTTCACTTTTGCTGTATTGCCTGAATTTGTCTTTTTAAATTTCTGTAGGTGTTCATACTATACAATCTTAATGCATCATCCATGCTTGATACAGCAATAAACAGAGCTGGCAGTACAACACATTTTGTAAAACCATAAATATTTTTATCTGTCTGGGATTGGGAACACAGTTATAACTAAGACAGCCATGAAATTTTTATTTACTCGACAGAACTGATGTCAGGCTTAAACGGAGTCCTGATCTCCACGTTCTGTGTTCCTGACGCATATTTAACCTTAAGGTTTAAATGAAACAAGCATATTTTAAGTTTTTCTCATAATTGCTAGCAGTGGGAAGTGTAATTTGTATACAAGATTTAGCAAAGAGCATTTGATTGTAAATTTTAAAGCTCAGGTCAAAGTACTTTTAACATGAGTTTTCATAGGAAATAATTTTCTCAGGAAAGTGTTTGAGAATTTATTGGTTTTGCTTTGGCATTCTGTTATGATCCTGAGTTCTAAAGAATTTTTTTTTCTTAAGCAATCAATATAGACAGTCTTGAATAGCCAGCAGGAAAAGAAAATTTGGAGAGTTTTAACTGAACTGCTCTAAATTTTGATCTGTTGGCTGCCTGGAAATTTCTATTTTTACCTTCCTAAGACGTAGAACTAAGGAATATTTTTCTGACAAAATCTTAATCAAATCAGCATATTCCCTCAAAAGGACTGCATTTTAACAGCTGTAGATCATTCAAAAGGAAATGAAAACCTAATAGCAATTCTAATTGCATGGTATATGATAGATGTGAGTGGTTGCTTAGATGAAGATAGCACAGATGGAGCATCCCCATGACCTTCCCTGTGGGTTCATTCAAAAACATGCAGTCCAAAACAATTCTTCCTTTAATTTAGATATCATAGAAAAATGCTAATATTGCTTGGTTGGCTGAGGAATTTGGAGCCAATTTGAGCCAAACTTGGTCCATAATTTTTCTCGTTGTGAGCCAATCTCTTTGTCAGAAGGAACCCTAGCATGCTTTTATCCCAGAAGCCCAGCTAATTATCTCCTGTAGAAGGATTTAAATGCTTGTACCCCAGAAGGTACTTTAACCCTTAGGATACTGGTTCTCTCTAGATTTTAGTATTTTATTGAATGTGAATGCATGAAAATGTTATGCCAGTAACTGAGAGAATGAAGTATTAAAATATGTCAAGGGAATGGATTAAAACCTGACATAAAATATATTCCAATGCTCAGTGTCCAGTTAATACCAGTGTGATTGCATTAGCACATAATACCTGCTATTAATTCAACTTCAATTTTATCCTGCTGCTCTTCCTTGAAGAGAGGAACAGAGTGACAGCCTGTAGTGAAAATCAAGGAAAGAATCTGTTTGAATAGTCCAACTTTTGTCTTCTTTTTTTTAACATCAGCTTCAAATGGAGATAATAGCTGCAGGATTGCTTCAACCATTACAAAATCTTGGTCCTGATTCAAAGGACATAGAAATTATTATTGTGTTAAAACAGGTCTTGCTGAAGCTTTCATATTAGTGAATAGAAAACTGCTGAAGTAGAATTTGAGTCCAGGTGATGGAGGACTCTCACTGTCATGAAGCTCATGTCATGTCAGGTCACAGCTGAGAGTGCACAACAAGAATTCTGACATTTCTAGATTAGGACTTGTTTGGGATTTTATTAAGTTTTTTTCGTTACTTTTGTCCAAGGCTGCTCCATCTGGTTCACTGCCAAGTCCATTATGTGGGAGAGAAATTTGTGAATAGCTCCCTTTTTCTTATGAACCCAACTTAAGTAACATGTCCAGGAGAGCAAGGGGGAAAGTTCAGTAAAAATTCAAGACTCCCTTTCCATGCTTACTATTTTGAAGTTACAGGTTGTATTTTTGGCACAGATTGCATCTAACTTAAAATAACATGAACAAAGATAAATAATGTAGCACCAGCAATAAACAGTCTTAAACAAGAAACTGAAGTATCTTTCTTTGTTTCCTGACTTATACTTTATGAAACTTTGATTAATGTGGCTTTGCAACATCTAAGCAAGTTCCCTGTGCTGTACAGAAGGGTGAGGGTGGCTGTGGAAACCAAAGCAATTCATTTTCTTCGACAGGAGTTGCTCCACTTGCCCTTCAAACCCAGTACATCAAAAGGCGCAATGCCCCTCACAGCTCTGAGAAGAATCTCCTTGCTCTGCAGTGAGGAAATCCTCACAGCAAATTCTGTGTGTGATTTGAATGAATTAGAGTGTGATGGTATCCTCTACACGTCTCATGAAAGAGTGACCTTCATCTGCTCCTGCCTCTGGATCCATGGAGGAATCACAATCTTAACGCTCCCTTTGATCTGAGCGTGTGCTGGTGGGGATAGAGCAGCTGATCGCTGCCCTGTGATAGAATCTGCTCTGTGTGCCAGCACTTTCAAAGGCTTTTTTGTCATCTCTTTTGTAATACGATGGTTATGAACATTTCAGAACACGAGTGAGAGGTAGTAAAAGCACAGAAAAAAGGAATATTAGGCTCTATGCAGCTTATAATTAAAATCCTAGAGAGCAATAGCTGTGACGTGAGTAAAGAAAAGTACAATAAAAGCAAGCAAAGAAAAAAACTCCACTTGATCCTGGAAAGCACAAAGGGAGGCTGCTTCGTATGCAAGGCTTTCTATTTCAAGTCACCTTATCACCAAGACAGCTTTCAGTTTAGGATGACAAACAAAAAGCCCAAAGGAATTCTTTGCCCATTCTGAGGGAGAGACAAGGCTCCCGTGCAGATGCCTGGCACGTCTGAGCTCTGTCCCACACTGAGCACTTCTACAGTTTTATACCTCACTGCTATTTCATGAGACTTCCAAGGGATTAATTTGACAGGGTGAAAAACAGCAAGATGTATATTTGAATAGAGATTAAAAATACAACACAGAACATTCTATTCTTCTGTCAACAATTTCAAGGTGAAAAGACCAACAACATACCAAGTAATAAAAACCACTTTGCAGATGTTAGCATAATATAGCCAAAGAAAAAGGGAGAGAATGAGGAGAAGAGGAAAACATCTTTGGTATGCTTCAAGCATTAGAGCTCTTAGCTGTGGTCTGAAGATCAATAAGGCAGAACATTCTTTTTATTATATATTAATACAGTGTGAGCAGCAAGCATAGCAACTACTAGTATCATGTGACTGCTGCATGTAAGTGTTTTTCCACTTTGTCAAGATGAGTGCAGTTAAAATTTCATTTTCTCAGGTGCATAGAGTTAAAACTTTTGAGCCAATGAGATGTATAAACATTTCTTCATAGCACCTAGAAAAGAAGGGAGGGGTTTGTTGTGACTTTCTATTGCCCAAGCCAGCAGCTGAAACTGTCTAAAGTAGACTGGTGGGACACTGATGGTGAGGTGTAAGAGATGTGTAAATAAAAGAGTTTCTGAGAGCAATTGCATTGAGACCAATTCCAAATTCCAAAGCTAAATGACCATGGGAGTTCTGTATTTTTATCATGATATCAAGTCACTCTCTTGTTTAGATTTTTTTATGAAGATGCTGAACCTTCATTTGAAGAACTCAAGGGATGAGAGAGAATCCCAGCTGCCCAGACTTGCACCAGTTGATTAAAAACTTGAAAACTCATTATAGTCTGTTTTACCTTAGAGTTCTGTGTTCTGAACTTGTGCTGCAAGTTTGAAGTAGACTAGAGCGTGGTATAAAATTTGCATGCTCCTCTCCTTTACAGCTATGCTTTTTCTGATTAATCTATGTATTGTAGCTTTACTCTTCCTATTGTCCATTACCAACAACAAACAACAGAGCCAATTACGATACATGAGAAACTTAAAAAAAATTATATAAATTCGTGCTTTAGTGCAGATATTAAAAAGTAATTTAGAAATAATACACCAAAAAAATATTTTCTGTTGGGCTGCTGAAATCCAGTATTGCAAAGGTATTTTTTTCTAGTCTCCTGACAGCAGTTAAGATTGCTGTGCTGGTGGAGTGGGTCACATCTGTAACTCAGATAGTGCAGTTTCTCATCACTAATTGTAGTTGTTTAAATTGCACTTCAAGACCTTGTCTACATCTGTCTGCGACACTGCTTCTGTTACAAAAACTTATAAAAGGGAAGTTAAATAATTATCAGTTAAATGTCTGACATAGTCTTTTGCAAATTTGTATTAAAATGATTCTGTGTTTGAAAAAAATCATAGGCTTGACAGGTGCATTACAGCTAAAATATGTTTGCTAAGGTTAAACAGCAAAAAGTCACATTATTGCTACTTGTGCTAGAGCTATGAAATTAAGAATTCACCACAAAGCTGAGGAGATCTCTTGCTTTACTGGAGTTAGTTTGAAGCTATTCAGTTGTGTAGGTGTTTTGAAGCCATAATAAAACTGTAGAGCTAGTGACCCAAGAATGAGAATTTCTATACTGCGTTTTATAATAAATTTGAGCAAAGCCTGAGGGTGACATTGCACAAAGGATGTGTCACTGGTCTTCCTGGGCAGCTGTGTGAACCTGTAATAAAGGTCCTAAATGTTTCTGCTGCAGTGGAGTTGGGTTGATAATAAATACAGGATGTAGGCTGATGTGGGATGATCTTTTAAATGCATCCTTTAATGTGTTGTACTGTAATTTCTTGTGGACTGTCCCAAGCTCTTCCATTGCAAATTGGGGTAAGGTAGAGTTACATTAACAGCTGATGATTTCTCCAGCATGAGCAGTCAGGACTCTTTTATCTTGTTTCCCTGTCTCTGCCTAAGTCATCTTTTGTGCCGTGAGTGATCCAAGAACTGATTAATTCATGTTCCCAACGCGCTTGAAAGCTTACCAAAGGAAAAGGGCGACAGAAGAAACAATTTTATTTTTATTCCAGACTGCTGGCAGAGCTTGTGAGCTATTGCTGTGCTGGAGCTCTGGTGCTGTTTTGAGCACAACTCTTCAGTTGTCATCCCGTGTGTGCACGGCGAGTGCTGGCCCACTGCTCTCACACAGCTCCTCCCCAGCAAGTGAGATTCATCTGTGCTCCCTTGGAGCAGCAGTGACAGCAGCAAACACCTCATGGCAACGCTGATCTGATTCCTTCTCTTCTTTTTCTTTTCTTCTGTTGCAAACAAACTAAGAAGTTCAATATTTTTATTTCAATCACACCCTCAAGGAGTTTCCCGGGGAGAATGAATTGGTTCAGCTGGTGACCACCTGTTGGTGTCTCAGTAGATCTGAAATGGAATTTTGTCTCAGTTTTGTGATTGAAACACAGTTTATCTCTAAATCAATAGTCAATATCTTTCTAAAGACTGCACTTATGGTCTAGCCATATGTATCTTGGAAAGTTGGGGAGCAACTCACTTAAACTTTGATCCCATTTCAAGTCCAGAATTTCTAGTTTGGAATTCTAGCCTGTAGATCTTGTTAAGATTACAGATTAAGGGCTTGCACCTAAACACAGTAGAGTTCAGGGGAGTATTTCTATTGAGTTTGACAGGTATAAAATCAGACCTACTCAGAACATGACAAATCACGCTTGTAAATCTTTGTAGATCAGTATCATTCATTCTTTATTTCTTCTGAATGTCTCCTCATTATTTTCATTGTCAAAACTTGAAGCTTTTCATTTGCAGCCCTCTTCTCTTGGGCTGTGTCTTGATAGAACATATGCAATTTTATTAAATCCATGTCATCTTCCTATTTCAGGCAGTGAAAATAAAACCAGAGGGGAACTGAATGTTTTGCTACATTCAATATGTAGTGTCAGGATGAAAGATCCCTGTAAACCCTTGTTTTTTGAATGTTGTGCTTCTGTTTATAAGCGTAGTAAATTCTCAGTGTGATAGATCTCAACACTTGAGGCTTGTGGAATAAAAGATGCATGTGTTCTGAGGAATGATTTATCTTAAACCCCAAAAGCTGTAGATGATCTGTAAGTGCCACTAATGCATTTGAAAGCCACTACTGCACTGATTATATCTAAAGAGAGTTCTTGTTACTCTCCAGTGACATCTGGTACCTGTTTTGAAGCTGTCATGTGAAAGCATGTGAGTACACTAGGCAGATTTCTGGCAGGTGCTGCTTTTTAGGAGGAAGTGAATGCAAGAGACTGGGAGCTGTCAGTGCAATTTCAGAGCAGTCACTGCTGTCACCATGGGCTGAGCACATCCTCATCTCCAGCTCATGGTGTTGCTCCTTCATGTTTGTGCTTGCTCTGAGTGTGTTAAGCCAAAATTATCACCTAGAAATAATAAGACTTCCTCAATTTTATGGACTAATATCATTTTTTATTGTCCCTCTTCACCTCTTACAAATTCAGACCTGCTGTTTCATTACTAAATAATTTCCTACTCCCTCCTTATCTCTTGAAAGATGAACAGATCAGCCTAGCAGCAAAGCTGAGCAGAAGCCTGGTCTCTGGGAGGGGGTTCCTCACTGTGTCTGGATTTCTGGATCCTTCCTGCCCAGCTTTGACTCTTTTGGTGAACTTTAAATTTCCCTGTTTTATCAGATCATGAAATTAAAATTGATTTAAATACATGCTAATGTCACACTGGTTGTCATAATAAAAACTATATTATAATTTTAGTCCTCAATAATTGCATTCCATGCATGTTACTGTTCGGTCAGTCTGTATGAAGAAGGGCAAGGTTAAAATGGAGTCAAAAATCAGAAATGCATGTCTGTCACATGGCAGCAGGATGGAGCTCATCTGATGTACAGGTTTAACTTTTCAGTGCTCCTGCTGTCCTTAATGTGTGGATTTAGTCGAGTTTAGAAACAGCAAATGTGTTATTCACTCCAAAAGTCCTGCAGAGGCAACTCATGCTGAAGTAAAACGTTTGCTTAGCTGGAGTGGCACTTAGACATTCAGTAGGGCAACACTGTCAAACTTCACACTGGCTTGGAGTGTTGGAATGAGAATACAGAATTCTGCAATAATTCCACAATGGTATCCAGTTGTGTTAAACCTTTCTGAAGACAAAAGCAGTCAGCCTCTCACTTTCAGTGCGGAACCTGGTTAAAAATCTTGATTTCTCTGTTGTGTGAAGTCTTTTAGACAGCTTTCAGCCTGGCTTGGAATGAAAATAAATCCATCTATTAACGTGCACCTTAAAATACTTATACGAGATTTTGAGGGTTTGAGAGATGTTCCTGCTGGCATTATAGCCAACCTTTAGTTCTGTCTTTTCATTCATTGTTGAAAATTAATGCATTGAGACACTGAATTGATGAGATGCTCATGAATTGATGCAGACATGAAAAAGAAGTGAAAGGGGGGATTCCTATCCAAATAGCTTTCAACAAAGTTCTTTCACAATTTTTTGTGTAAGTTTTCCTATGGAGACTTTCTTAAAACACTGAAAAATGTGTTTTCTCCTTAAAAATCAGGAAGTCAACAGCATTGATGAAACCGGGAGACATCAGTCACTGTTTGGCTCACAGTAGAAGACTCCTGAGCCCCTTTAAATATTTTAACCATTCATAGGTTCAAATATTCCAGATTTCTTGCTAAATGAAGAGAAAAATTCTTTTCTAGCAAAATGGCTTTCAAAAGATGCAATGCTGGCAGGTTCCTAGCCA